TAAGCCTTGATCAACTGTAATAACTGTGTATTGCTGCCCGAGTACTGAAGAGACGTGCATACATTTTTTGACAACGGTGTACAAAGTATCTCATGAGCCGGTGACTGCAGTATTGGCATGTGTCCTACCTTGGTTACTTCTATCTGTTCACCGTTGGATAGGGTCTGGTTAAATTCAGTCCATCCACTATTGACCACGCCCTTCTGCCTCAGCATGTTGAATGCTAAGTCAGATGCTTGTGCATGTTGTTTAGCGTCTTGTTTATCCTCTTTTTCATCARACCACTTTTTCTCTACTGATTCAGAGAATACTGGGGGGCTGACTTTTACCTCAACCGGTTCAATCATATCCATTGATTCTGGAACAATTAAACTGCGCTTAACAGAGTGTTTTACGCCATCAAGCAATGAGGTGCGCTCTRARCCTCGTTGCCATGCRGCTATCTGTGTTGCATGAAATGTGTTTTTGCCGTCTAATGTCTCATCGAGTATGCCGATGTTGTCCGCCGAAAAGTGAACATATCTACCGTGAATCAAGTTTGGGGGTATAACAGTTCCCGTATCAGGATCTAAAGACTCGAGGACGCTTTCAGCTAATCCTGTRTCAATTTTAAGAATTTGTTCATAACAGAGAATGTGTTCCGCTTTATGAAAGAGGTTTACAAGATCCTTAGACCTTGTGACCTGATGTAGAGTGCTGCCGATATGCTTGGGGGATCCATTTTGGGCGTCCATTTTGGACAAATGTGCGGATTATTTTATTGTTCTTTTATTAAATAAAAACAACTTTAGCCGAGCCGGCATTCTTCATTATCGAAAGTTTAACCTCAGTTGACCCTACCGTCAAATGTCACAAAAGAGAATACATTCTAATTTCCATTTTTTTTTCTTCTTCGCTTATTTATGTGAGTGGAGAATATTGGTATGTCAGTAARACTTTATAAATTCGGTCCCCTCCCCCTTGTCCTTTGCTGTTTGTAACTTGCGATTAGGTAAGAGCCATATTATTTGCTCTCTCATATTTCAGCTTTAATAGCTTTTTATTTGTGCAAACCTAAAAACCATCTACAAGGGATTATTGATAAAACCAAAGGGAAGGATGTGGTACGGGAAAATATGCCCAAATGGCAAGCATATTTTGTGAAATGAACATTTTTCAGCCTAACGAGTTACCCTCGTGTCTWATGATGGGCCAGAACACAAGCAATTCAGGCATATTGCTTACAGACAATTAGCAAGATGGCGTTGGTTTTTTTTTAGGGAAGGAAGTTAGAGTGGTGCTACCATCATGTGCCGTCATGTGTATCAGAGCTCAATTACCCCCTCCTGGACTTGAAGAAAATTTCACTTTCGAAGGTTTTCACTATAGTAATGAATAAGTTTCAATAACAAACTTTGCAAAACAAAGGGAGTGCATAATGACAAGCACAGGATTTTATTGTATTCCATGGCAGTTTCAATTACACAGTAATAGTGAATGAAAGATTCAATTTGATATTTACTGCAAAAAAATTCAATTGACTCGCTTTGAATCACATGATTTTGAAGACAAGACAATTGTCTACCACATGAAAACATATGACGAATGATTTTATGGCACTTTCAATATTTAATAGGTTATCCAAATGAAGATGCTTTTCTATTGAAGGCAAGCAAAGTTAGTTTGCCTATTCTCTACAGGCTCTACAGGCCACTACTGGAACATAAGTACATACAATCAATATCAGTAACATTGAATCGCTGTAGCCTANCCACCATTGACTAAAGGCTGTGAGTTCCACACCATCTCATGGTCATTGAGACATGTTGTTTTGACAGAGACCATACTTCCTGTGTGTGAGAATTGTGGTTCTGAAATTATGACAGCACCACATTTTTTACAAAAACGAAACAGCTCCTGCAAGTTTGACATAAACACCAGATATTTAGGTTCATCAACAAAGCTCTCAAAGGTGGTGTCTGGTTTTGATATCTCACTGTCAGTCGAGGAATGCGTTTCTTGGGAACAAGGGATTTGGTAGTCGTCATCGCCATAATCATCACTCTGAACTTCGTCATCTGACAAAAATGACCCAATTGACTTTACAGACTTCTGTGGGGATACGCTAGCATTGGACTTCTGTGGTGAAACATTTGCTTGCACTGCATACGTGTGGTCTCCAGGTGGATGTCCTTCATTATTTCATACTTGATTCAGTTTTCTTTGTTATTCATAGTGTTGTATCTCGCTTATTCCCCAGCTCGTTGTGTATTCAAGTGCTTTATAACGAAGTTTCAGGGATATATCTATATATTGCCCTTGAATACTAATGTATATTGCCCTTGAATACCTAATTAACTACTACGTTCAACTTTTTCCGTCTGAAACTTTAAACTTGAAAGAAAGAAAGAAAAATTCAAATGACACCAAGTAGATTCGAACTCACAACCTTAGCTTTGAAAATCCTATACTTAACACGTTATGCTAACTGACCAATCGATGTCAGCTATGGAATAAAACAGATATTTAACATTGTCCAGTTACTTGTTACAAAAGGTTTATTGTTAGCATTTGTCTCATGGGACTAACGAGAAAATTGGTTATGCAAATAAGCCAGTTACATACATAGAACGTCGGCAATCAGCCTATACTATGTATTAGGCTGATTGCCTCCGTTCTCGGTATGTAACTCTTAATTAATAATTGGTTTATCAACATCATTAACATCATCATCACCTACACTATCAGTTTGAGTAGCAGTTGATGTAGTTATTGAATAACGTATATCAATAAGACAGCACTGGATGCCAATTTCACACGTTCTAGGTGGTGGTTATTCTGTACCATTATCATTATTGCTGTCAACTTCCATAACTTCTTCGCACACTTATTGAGCGAGGAGGTCTTCCATCACCTTAAAGAAAAAGATAAATGTGGTAAATAGATAGGTTTTAAACAGCTTTTCATGAACTCAATCAAAGTGTGAATACATTAAAAATTAATGAAAATTTAATTGAAAGTGACTTTAATCATAAACATTTATCTATTTATATTTTTTGGTCTGTCCGATCATTACTCCATAGAAGTTCAGCCTTTAGAGCGAACTAAGCATCCCAAATCCAAGATCACAATCATGTCAAGAGATGTACGACCTACAAAGCGTTTAGCAATGCGAACATATCTGGAGGAAGTAAACATCAATTCATTGATTAGCAGTAACGACACTTGCGATGGTAAAGTTAGAATGTTAGAGAACGTTGTCAACACTGGTGTTAATATTCTTCTCCCATTAAAAAAGAAGACCATTCATCCTAACGAGCCGGCCTGGGTAAACCGAAAGTTGAAGTACCTCATTAGTTTGCGTCAGAAAGCACTTGSCCAAGGGGACCATGCAAAATATCGCGCCCTAAGAAATCAGGTGAATCGAGAAAGAAAGTCATGTCGTGCTAAATTCTATGAATCAAAGGTCGAACAATTGAAGGAGAGTAAACCAGCTACTTGGTGGAGTGAAGTCAAGAAATTAAGTGGAATGTCAACAACTAAGGTCTCTGACCCGACATCCTTGTACCAACACATCAATTACGGTCAACCAGCCCCACACAAGATGAACGATGTCGCCAATTTCATCAATTCTGCTTT